AAAAAGATTTATCGATTTTGGTCAAGTGGTTGCCGAGATATCCTCGATCAAAGTTTTAAATATTTATAAACAATAAAGTAATAAAATCGAAGTGATTTTTAGTATAACCATGGTGCAAATAGCAAAAAAGCATGGTGCAAATAGCAATTCCCTAAATTTATTTCTGCCTATTATTTTTTTATGTGTTACAAAATATTTATATTTACTTGAATTAAACTCAGTTGACAACTTCTTATTAATTACAATTATAAATTATTAGATAACATCATTGAGAATTTTTTTTAGGGTATATATTGATTATAATCTCTTAGATTATAATCAATATATATCACTTTTGCTAAGTATAAACATTAGTAATAAATAATGCTATATAGCAAAAATTTGTTAAATTTTATAATAATCATTAATAATTAATAAAGATATATATTATTATATAACTATAATCAACATATATCATTAGTGATATATATCAATATATAACCAATAATCAATATATATCATATAAAAAAATTGATTACAATCGTCTTTACTGCTTGTAATCAATACAAATCTTCAAAAAAATTTTCCTAATAACCATTATTTGACAAATTTTTAAATAATAGTAATTTGGCTTAACCAGACAAATAATTGGCTAACACATGCCATGAAGCAGTATGTATTTATTTGCTCAGTTAAACCAAATTATCATTATTTAAAACTTTTTGCCAAATAATATATACATATAAACAAACAGTAAAAATTGTAAAAAAATTGGTCACTTTATAACAATAATGTTTCTTAACCTTATTTTTAACCACTCTTCAAATTTCATAAAAAGATTCTTCAAATGCAAAAGAATTGCAAAATGCTACTCAGAAATTAAACAATGGCTTCTTTATTATTAAATAAGCCTAGAAAGCAAAATTTGCCTAAATTTTACATATAAAATATAGATGCGTTGATCATTTATGTGATATTTCCGATGGTAAAACTAATCCAGAAACATTTTAAAAAAGATTAGGGATTTAAACGTTCATAATCAAAGGGAAAGACATAAATTTCAATCGAACATTTTTCGGAATATGCATTTAAAGAATTTCTATCCATTGATGATAAGCAATTAGAAAGAGATTTTTCAGCAAGTTTCTATTCTAAAAGAATTAAAATATTTAGAACATATCGTTTAAGTTTATGGAGTTGCTAAGACTGCTGATGTTTAAAACATTATTTGGTGACGGAGTGGATGGAGAATGGTATATTACAAACGACATACATTGGATTGGAATAAAAAATTTGAATTTCCATTGATATTTGCCGAGGAATTGCTTTCTTGAATGCTTTAGAGGTACGTATGTCGAATATCTATTCAATATCGACAAATAAGACTATCGTATTTTCGCGGAATAATGCACGTGCGCATTATTTGAATTTCGGCCTAAATTAAGCTTAATTTGGGCCATTATTCAAAATAATGCGCGCACGCGTTATTTTGCGAAAATATGGTATATTCAATGGTAATTTGCTTCTAATTTATGTATTATATATACTAATAAACGATCGTCATAAAGCTGAAGTTGTATTATATATACTAATAAACGATCGTCATAAAGCTGAAGTTGTTAATTTTGGTGTAAGCCGTATGTTACCAGAATGTACGACTTGATCTTGAGAATATAGGTATATGGCACTCGATATATGAAATTATGGTAGTATTCCGCCGTTTTTTGATTTATTAGGAGGGTCCTTAATTTTTATGCAAAGTGATACAAAAATTACGTTTTTGATGCGTTTCTACCAAAAATGGTTACCTTTTTTGATGCATCTTCATAAACATTATGATCATAAAACTTAATATTGAAAATTTCCGTCGGTCACGCTGCGCGTTTAAATTGTACATTAATACAACAAAAACATGTATCTAACGCGTTTTTGAATATGATTGTTTAGTCATGGTGATATAAAAGTTCCGTTTTTGATACATCTCAAGTTACGTTCTTGATTAATTCATTAGATATATTATACTGATGCATCAAAAATGTAATTTTGAAAATTTCTGTCTGTCCGCACGCGTAACAAAAGTATGATGATTATCATGTGCTCCGGACACACTACGCATTAACCTAGTAAATTTAACTATACTAATTTTCTATAAATATTTAAAGCTATGAATCATGATCCAGATTTTCGCCCACCAATAAAGAAGCAGCTGACTGGTAAAGTTGAGGCTCAACTTCGATACGGCTTCTGTTTATGGCAGGGCGATGTGTTCAGGTTAATTCTGTAATTGGGGTAAGGCTATGAAATATATAAAATTAGCGGCTGATAATGGAAACCCTGCCGTTATGTATAATATCGGAAGTGCTTATTTGATCGGAAGGGGGTAATAGATCAGGAAATTTGTTTCAAGTATTTGATGACTGCTAAGAAGGAACAACCTAATGCTATTGTTATGTGAAATTATCAAGAGAACTGCCGGAACATAGTAGAGAACCTATATTCTATGCATGCTTTGTCAATATGTCTGGATGTTCGAATATTGTTTTTTCCTAGGTTGTCCTGAAGCACAAAAACACTAATTATATTAAATGTTAACAACTTCTCAGATTTATATATGCTTTAAATTTTTGATATTTAATTTTTTTTTTAAAATTAGAACAATGATATTTATTAGTTTTGATAATAAAGTTATATTTAGATGAAAAAAAATTTTTAACAATTATATACTAACAGAATCAAAAAAAAACGTAAATAACAAGAATTCATTAATTTGGCCAGGTCAAAGATTGATTAATGACAGAAATATTCACATATTGTATATAATCAAGTAAATACCTAAGAGTTTACAATCAGAATCATTTATGCGCTAAATAAAGATATAAATATGCGTAAAAAGTCCATCCGAATTAAATTGATACTTAATTTAATGATTCTGCAAAGCTTTGTGCTATTTCCTTAACATGGTTTACATGTTCTTCATTACCGTGTTCCTTTTCAAATGCTAACCATTTTTTAAAGAAAAGTTTCATATGTTTTGATGAAAATTTCATTTCAGTAATTCTTCTAAACAGACGCCTAAAATTTATTATATAATGAAAATGAATAATCTATTTATCTGAAATAATAGATTCATTTTTTTAAAGCTTCCTACCGAACTATGTCAAAATCACCAGCTTTTATTTCCATGTCAATATATATAGACCACAAGTCTACTCTCTTGGGATAATTACTCATCATTCCTTCGAATATCGTACGACCCCTTTCAGCTTCTCCATATTTGAATTCCATTTGTGCAAATTTGGTTATGGCCTTAATATCTAACAAAGGGGTTATTAAATACGATCAACATAACTTATATATGAATTTTAATTGCAAAACAGTAATGAACTATTCTTACGTTTTCGTTTTGGCAAGGAACGCAAACTTCGTTGAAGTAAATCACGAGAAGCCTGAACGTTACCGTGCTTTATATGAAACAACCCCATTTTTGTCCAAACCTTGTAGCTTTGAGAAAACTTCTTCAACATAGTTTGATAGGTTTGTTGTGCAAGCTATAAATTTAAACAATCAACCATGCGATGATAAAATTTTTAAAATAAATTGATTTAAATTCGCAATATGCAATTACAATACCTCTTTCTTGTCTGAACGCTCATAAATATCCACGAGCAGCATATATATTTTCTTTTGATCACAGGCCTGTAATGCTCGTTTCAATACACCTCCGAGACTTTCATCTGTTCCAAAATTATTCTCTAAATTCATAAGAGCAACCCATATATTCATCTTTTCTTGCTCCTCTCTATAATTTATAGTTTTGAGAGCACGTTCACCAATTTCACGTGCCTTATCTATTTCGGAAAGTTTGAGTTGATGAGCCATGTAATTGATCCATAAATACGAAGAATTAGGAGAACCCAGTAGCAATCGTTCAAAATCCGCATTGACTTCAGGTTTATGCTTCAACAAATCTTCTGTTTTATCAACAACGTCAATTGTTTTGGACTTTTTCT